CGGCTGTACAGAGCAACACCTACATGTGGGTATGGGTATAAACATCAGCTGCTGATCCTTTCAGGTGTTACTGCCACTACTGTTGTTTTAATATTTGCACAGTTTCATCTTCAACAGCTCCCCTGGTGAAGACATAAAGCAGCTCCCACTAGTTATACGGAAGAATTTCTATTTTTGCTATATGAATTTCTACCCCGAGGTTAATTTTGCTGGGGGGATTTTTTTACCCTGGGGCATAAGGGGGTGAAGGGAATGATAGTTTAACAAAAGCCAGCACGTTGAAAACTATGTGCACTATGTATAGCTGTGTGAAATCAAACCCTTCAACAACATTTCTTTCAAAACATTCAGCAATCACAACAGGTAATGCTGTTCTTGATGACTCCTGATCTCTTCACAAAGCCTGAAATTCTATAAAAGCAAGAAGATGCCATTTCTACTAGGCAAAAACCATTTTTATTTCAAAGTTTTTTTAAAAATCAGTAATACTCCCTCATATAAACTATGCAGACTATCAAAAGTCAGCTAGCTCTGAAACTGAGCCCTTTAATGCAGTTCAGAAAACTTTGAGCCCGGATCTTTCATTAGGACAAATAAGTACATTTATCTTGAAGTCAGTTACACTGGTCCTGTCAACTTAGAGAATACCAGCTTTGTGATCACAGAAATGTTTAGTTTTTCAAGAGGACAGGGCAGATTGAATAGAGTCCAGGATGTGACTCTCCTATATATTGCTGTGTATATTACTGTTTTGCCACTGAAGGTCCAGCTTCGAGGCTGCAGAGCTGTCAGTGACCAAACATGATGGACCACCCATCGGCCTTTTATTAACCAGCACTTGTTCCCCCCTCTAATCCTATCACCAGAGTAATCAAAGCTGCCATGTCCCAGGGTTTGATGGAACAGCAGGACCTGGGAAATGAAGACTGATTTTGTTAACAAAGTCATTCCTGCCCCATGAATGCTGTCTCATTGGTAGAAAGCGGGGAGATGAGGTTTATTTGTGCAGAGAATGAGGCGGCAAAGAAATGAAAGGGGGAGAATGGTGAAGTGTGAAGTTTAATCTGGCACAGTCTGAGGTTTCTTTCTTTGAGGCCGTCTCTGATCCAATCAACACTGGTTTGATATTTAACATCTCCCCCTGCAGTTGGAAATGATACCAGCCAGAGGAGACCGGAGTCAGGGCTTCCCAAACAGCCAAAGGGGAGAGAAGGGGGTGCTGGCAGCTCCTCACCAGCCTGACAGCTTCCCCACCAACAGCTTGGCAGGAAGCTGAATCCTGACACAAAATTTCCCCTACAAACACTGGGATTCAGGGCATCTGCTATGAGCTGAATGCAGAATGTCCCTGAGGAGAGCAAGCCTGGGATAGGATGGGATGGGAAAGGGATTTTAGTTCTAATCTAATCTAAACTAATTTAAGTTCTAAAGTGGAGGAAGGGCTATGAACACTGTCTGGGACTGTGGATCCCGCTGAGAAACAGGATCAAATACAAGCAAGACATGTCACCCACCTCCCCAGGGAACAGCAGTTTGGGTAGAGCAGTAAGACCTCCCCCTTGCTGACTGTACAGACCTTCAGTGGGGACACACTGCAATCACTCCAGGGTGATGAGGGTCCCGTGACAGCCCTGGGCCATCAGGGAGGATGCACCGGACCTGAGCAGCTGCAGGAGCCACCCTCACCTTCTCCTTACTCCAACAATAACCTGGGGAAAGCTTCCCATCATAGACCCACATGAGGGTCCCAAAGAGGAGAGAGAGTTTAGCCCTAATCCTAGCTGGCCCTCAGAAAACACAGGGATGAGCCCTCACAGCCAGTAATGGCTGCAGTGCCTCTGCCAGGATTCCACAAGAAGGCCTGGAATGTCATCTACCCCTCACCAATTCTCAGCCCTGGCTAACTTGATTTTGCCCTTTTCTGGCCACTTTCTACATAAACATCAGTGCTGTCAGACAGACTTGTCTGCTTCCTCTTCTTCACCTGCCTCAGCTCTTTCTGTCCCACCTCCCATGAAAACCCTGAAAATTCAAATACCAAGGAGCAGTAAAATTTCAACCTGACCCAAGCCTGCTACCAATTCCCCTGCATCCAGGCTCCCAACACTGCCTTCTGCTGGGATTCAGACAACTTGTCACCAGCTTGATCATACCCAGGGCCCGGACTTTGAGTGACCAGCAGCTGCCAGAGTCCCAGGAGGTGGGATAACACTTCCCCCCAGGATCCAAGCAGGAGGAGGCAGGAGGATGGGAGTGATGTGGAAAAGCAGCAGGAAACACTGTGCAAGGGTTTTAGGGTGAGCAGAGCATCAAACTACAAAGTTTCGGGGTTTACAATAGAAAACAATGCTCCCTGCCCTACCTGCAGGAGCTGGCTCTCCAGGAAGCAGCTAATTATATGAGCCACCTTAATCTTTTTATCCGGCTAAGACAATCAACATTTCAAAGCCACGCACAGAACGTTTCAAAGATCGTTCCTGGTCAAAAATGCAAGTGTATCCACTTTCTTTCAGAGCAGATCAAAACCAAGTACCACACCGGGACCACTCCTAGATTTCCTCCTCCTCACGGTATCAGATTAACAGATTTGGTGCATGTAGTCAGATTAAATATTTGCAGTAGCACAAAGCTGCCTTTGAGGAGAAGAAGTAGGGAAAAAAAGCTTTTTTTGTCTTTTTTTTTAATTTGCTTAGGGCAAAAATACTGGACTTTGGGGATGTGGGAAACAAAAGCATTGACATGATTCAGCAAGGCTCAGTCCTAAAACCTGAATTCTGAATGCAGAAATAATGTGCAGTGTTCCTGTAATAGTAATGCTGAAAACAGGTAAAAAACCGCTGATGCCCTTAGCAGATTTGGGACTATAATTTATCACAGATGTTCTCATCAAACTGTGCAAACACCCTGCGAGACAAAAGCTGCTCAATTTCTGATTTCCATTTTAGTGGCTTTTAATTACGTGTTGCTTAAGGAAGGCTCCAAGACCTGGAATTGGGAGGTGAAACCTTGCAATACTAATCCACTCCACTAAATTAGCACAGTAATACACCAAGCAGTAGGACTGCCAGACGGTGTGATAACATTACAAATTACTATTGTTAAACAACTAGCCAGGTGTCAGGATGCATGGAAATCTAGAGGAAGCAAGAAAATAAATATCTGGTTTGTTTTGTTTAATTTTGTCTCCTGTTGTTCTGGTGGCCTTGTTCCCAGAAAAAGCTTCAATCTAGGAAAATTCCTCCTGAACACTGATCTATTTCAGCAACTTTGTCAATTCTCTCTAACAATTAAAATGGAATGTATTCTTTTAATCAGCACAAATGTTTTGCATAAATGACTGTCCTATGCTTGCCAATAGCAGTAATACCTTTACTGGTCTTTTTTAGATTATTTTTGGAGCAAAATGAATGGGAAATTTTTGTTTCTATTTAAAAGTTGGACAGAGAAACAATTATGGTTAAGGGCAGCAGTGAGTTTTGCACTCTGTCCCTTTTCCTTTCTCTGTTGCTCACTCTCTCTGGAAAGAAAAAAATGTAGCATGATTCACATTTTAAAAGCTTCCAAGTGGTACATTTTTAATCAGGTGCTTTCATGTGCTTGACTCTAATGCCATTTTTGACCTAATACAACCAAACACTATAGGATGTCTCGAATGGTTAATTATTTTTACCTCACCTTAAAGAAGGGGCTCAACAGAGAGGACAGGCACTTAAACCTTTCAGACAGAATAGTGTACAACGAATTCCTTGATTTGGATGTGTGCTAAATAGTGCAAAAGTCCTGAGGGGCTTTCTTCTAATTATTTTTGTTGATAAACAAGAAAATATATTCAAAAGTGTATAGAAAAACCTGCTCTGAAGGCTGTATGCAGAGTTAAGACTCCTAGTTGAAATATGGATGAACCAAATGCTAGTGAAAACCAGACTTTTTCCCCTTCAAATAGCTCCTTCTGGACTTCAGGGGAGCAGGGGGTGAAGGCACTCTAAGGGCATTTTAATCACACCAAAGATTAGTCCTTTAATCCTTATTCCCCCACATCACCAAGAATTTTTTTGGTCAAAGTAGGACAGTAAGATAAGGCTGGAAATAGACCGATCGAAAACTAATGACAAAAAGCAAGTTAAGAATGAAATATCACAGCAGTAACTGACACCATCTTAAATCTCCCCCGGATTATTTGTTTAATTCCACACACGTTCATTTCCTCAATTTCTAGTAAATCTCATTTCACATAAACAGTTCCACAAAGCAAAGTCAATAGCTGTTACTGTGTTCCTCATTAATCCACTGAAATGAAATAGATCTCATGGCTTAGTATTTGGCTGTTTAAAGCTAAATCCATTGAAAGAATTCCGGAGTCCAGTTACACCAATAACTTTTGTTTCTTAACCTACATCCTTTTCTGTTTGCTGAAATTTACCTGCTCTAGAATGAAATAAACCCATGCAGAATTGCACACTCGATTTCCCCCAGTACAAAGGCGACATGAGCCACTTTGTTTTGACCCGGAATGACCACTAAAAAGACGACTGACAGTTTGCATGCATTTAAATCAATCTGAACAATGTGGAAATTTCTATTTTCATTGTTCATGCTTCATCCTCTTCCTGTCAAGTACCACAGAGCTGCTTTACTTCAAAACAAACAAACAAACAAAAAATCACTTTTTGCCCAACTCTGGGACTGGACGAGAAGCATGTAAGTTTCCCTCACAAGTGGCAGGCAAGCAGACACATACATTCACACCCTGGATATCTGCCTCTCAAATAAATTACGCACGTGATAGACACGCAGCACTCCCCACACACATCACGGGGGTTCTGCAGGCAGAACGGATCAGCATGGTGGAGAACAGGCAGCCCAGCACAAAAGCTGCTGAGGCCCACGAGTGACCACTCTGCTGCAGCAGGCTTGGGGTTCACCCCCATCAGCTGATGGAAGCGCGAGGAGAATACCCCCCATATCCTGGGATAAGACACGAGGCCCAGAAGCCTCCTTACCTGGGAGAAGTTGAGCCCGTTCAGCGGGTGACACTGCTCCTCCACCCGCTCCACCGCACCCGTCTTCTTCTTCATCCTCTCGGCCTCCTGGGCGAGGTAGAGATCGAGCACCGGCACCCCTCTGGAGCGGATGTCCGTCTCCGTCAAGGAGTTCACCATGAGCATCACCCAGACGGGCCTCTTGCGCTCCCAGTTCCCGGCGATGGCGTTGAAGAGGTAGTCGGCATAGAGCCCTTTGCCCCGCTGGTCCGGGGTCATCCAGTGGGGCAGCATCAGCTTGATGTAGTCCAGGTGGCGTTTGAGGCGGCGGTACAGCTCCCGGGGCAGCACGTCCTGCAGGTTCTCCCCGTGGGGCAGCATCTGGCAGCTGGCCAGCCCCGAGATGGTGTACGGGTCCGTCAGGTCCAGCTCGAAGTACACGCTGGAGCTGGCGTGGAAGGCGGCCTTGGAGTTGTCAGGGATGAAGTCCCAAACTCGCGTGTAGGGCACGTGGATGGTGCCGAAGAGATAAGCGGGGGGGTCACGGCGAATGGTCCAGAGGAAGGAGTTGAGCTCTCCTTGCTGCGGGGAAGACAGAGGGGCTGCTCAGTGATGGAGGGGCACAAAAGAAGGAGACAGCGATGCCACCCTCAGGGCTGCCCGCAGGGCAGTAGGAGCGGGCGTCCCGCTTCCCCCCTCTCCTCCTCGCACCAGC